GCGTGTGTGTGTAAGCACATTGTAAAATAGTTCATTAACTTTTAATTCTTGTTTTAATGAGAGCCGTATTTTAGGTGTTATTCTCACTCTCCGTATGCAGATAACACTCTTTAATCACAATACGAAGCATGCAAAATAAGTTAGACCCCCCCCCCCCTCCTCACAGTTTACTCTGTGTCTAATTTCAACTCGCACCAACATATTCCAAAAGTTTATAGAGAAAATAAAAAACAAACAAAAGGAAATTATTCAGATAAAATTGTCTGTTAAATGTTTAAAAGTAATGTTTAAAAGAGTTACGAGAACAAGAGGAAGATTTAAATCACTGGGGGTTTCATTTAATTTGCTTTTAAACAGCCCGCACTAAACTTTTGAATGCAACAGTTTGAATTAAAAAAATTAAAAAAAAACCTGGCAAGAGTTTTCCAGGGATTCGCTGCATGTACATTAAATTAAATCATTGTTGTAATTCATTAAAGCATTGTTGAGATTAAGCTTATCCAGAGGCATCCATGCACAAAATGATTGAACAGCCTCTCTTGAGGAATAGATTAACAATTAATTTGCATTAATAATTAAAACCAATTAAACTGGCGACTGTACGTCATTGGTCGTAGATGCTGCAGATTTTTTTAAACACCATTAAAGTGATTGGCTCTGCTGTGGTTTGATCTGCTGTAACTATGACAACATTTCTCAAAGTATCTTTTGATTTTTCATAAATAAAAATTAGTGAGGATGTATACACAATATATTTATTTATTTTTGGCAACTACTGTTTCTAAATATTTACATTTAAAGTAGAAACACTTAAACTCTCTCTCTCTCTCTCTCTCTCTCTCTCTCTTTTAACTCATATTTGTAACATCTACAATGTAACTTATCATAATTAAACTTTCCAAACCCTAAACAACCACTAAAATAGCAAATTTTAATAGTCAAAATTTCAATTTTATGACTTATTCCGACATTTACAAGGTCTAGTTAAACTTACAGGGCAATGAGCTTTCTGTGGACTTAGCAATTCGGCCAGTGACTGGAATTTCTGACATTGAATGTTTACTCCCAATGTTGATGTTTACTCCCAATGTAAGTCGCTTTGGATAAAAGCGTCTGCTAAATACATAAATGTAAATGTAAATATAAATTTACATGTTCTTGATTCCTTGATTATCATTGGACATTTATATATATATATAATATATATATATATATATATATATATATATATATATATATATATATATATACATAATTTTAAAAGTATTATTGTGCATATTAAATCCTGTTTTGAAACAAAAACATCTATCAAAAACATCTCAGCAAGCAGGACAACCATTTTACCCTCTCTTCTCTTATTTATTAAGTCTCTGAGCTTATTTATTATAGTTGTTTTAAATTGAGCTGCAATTGTTTAATTTTTATTTAATATTTAATGTGTAGGTTTCAAAAATGTTATTAGTTTTAATATTTTTGGTTTTAAACAAGCATTATTAGAGTGATGACACATAATTTGCAAGGTAGCAGTTTTGTATAACAGATCCCAGGTTTGTGCCATCTAGTGGTGAAAAGAAGGGATAACCACTTGAAGTTCAATACCTGTGATATGGCTTGTTTCTTTCAAATTTCAATGTCACCTTAAATGGTTTTTTGTTCACTGTGTTTTGTTTCAGGACATCCTTTCCTCTTGAAGCAAACAAATTCTATGTCCTATACACATTCCTACTAAACTGCAGGAAAACATTGAACTATACAAAGGTCGTCTATGATTTCTAGCATTAAAATGTATAAAAATAAAATGATAAAAGTTCTGTGCTTTTTACATTTTTTTATGAAATAGAATTTTTACTTTATAAACTTGCTATGTCTGTGAAGTGACCAGGCCCAATTTGTAAATGCTGCCATTTTCTAACATCCATTACTCCACAGCTGAGGATCAATGGAGAGCAGGAAGCATGGGAATCCTCTTTCTCTTCCAGAGCTGAAGTGTGACAGAAAGGTGAGTGAGAAACCAGACAGGAAGAAAGCAGTGAATATCGGCACTTCTTCATTCTCTGGTGAGAGGTCGTTTACTTAATTAGAGCAGACACGATGGAGAGCAGATCTATTTTGCTGCGCTCATGTGTGGAGCAGGGTGGAAGCTTGTCTATAACCTGATGCTCTGCCTAATAGCAGACAGACTCCTCTTGCTGAACAGAAACTCTGTAACCGATTGCTAATTGACAGCATGGGATAGTATTTTATGTGACTTCAAAAGAGATGCACTTTTTAATGCATCAATGTGCATTTAAAAACAAACAAAAAAATACTTCTGGCTGTTCACCATACTCTCTCTGTGAGGCTTCTTTTTCTTCATTGTAGTTCTCAACCTTTCATTCTCTGTAGTTATGTAGCTCCCATTTGTTTTTTCCTCGTGTGTATTCTCTCCCAGTTCTCTCTCAGTCATTCCCAGAACGTCAGGCCAGCATCTGCACTCAAGTGTATCCTGCATCTATTTGTCTCCATCATCATCATCATCATCTCCTTGTGCATCATGAGCGTCGGGTTTTCGCTGTATTTGTTTCCTTGTGTGGATTGTTGCATGTGTTTAAAAAATGAACCTAGTTTGGTTTTCAAATGTAGTTACTCGTATCTATTTAAGCGAGTGCTGGACAGCACTAACTCGTTATAGTTTCGTTTATTTTCTCAATAACATAAAATAATAGGTTCAAATATGCACCAAATTTTGTTACATCTGGCCAAAATTCTCCTTAAAATCAATGAAAGAGAGAAGCTGGGTCCAAAAGCTGAATAAACGAAGCATTTATGCTCAAGTCACATGGGGATGTGGGTGTTTTAATACTCACACTTAATGTGAGTACTCTTTTTCTGCACATTTTCCACCAGTTTTCATCACATAAGTCAAAGCATTTAGAGGATGCTTGTCCATGAGACTGCACGTCAACATTGAAGTGTGATAGATCACATGACCAGAACCAGAGCAGACCTACTGTTACTCTAAAATCCACAAGACCTTTTTTCCACTGGGTTCAATTTGACCCCAGCACTTTAAAATCCCCAGAATTTGCTCCCTAACCCCTAAAAATTTCAATGTCAGTTTGTCAGCAGAGTGTTGCATCACTTAGATCTTTAGAAGGCCATGGGAAGAGTGGGATAAGTTTTCTCAATTAACATATTTGATGATATTTTGGAGTGTGATTCAAACTCTGTCAGAGATTTAATTAGTTTAGTGTAAAAATACACACATTTGGTGAATAACTGGATTTTCACAATTTCCTGGTTCTATAATCATGTGCACCATGTGGATAGTTAGCATATTTTTGCTTATTCTTTGCCGAAACTTATATACTTATATAAAGAATAACAAGAGGGTTAGTAAAATGAGAAAAATGGCTCCCATCTTTTGATTATAAATCTTGTATAACGTTTAAATAAGTTACTTAAGGTGGACCAATAACCATTTGGATTTCTTAAGTATGGACGGTACGGGAATCTGTTTTTAAATCAAGTAAAAAATACATTTTCAAAAGTTCCAACAACGATACAGTGCTCATGATACGACGTATACCTCGATATTATTTGTATGTACACATTTTATACCATCTATCCACTAGGGGGCAGTACTATTGTTTGCATCTTTTTTACTCTTAAGTGGCGGAAAGAGCTACTTGTACAATATTTCTTATTTAAAATGTGAGTAAAGGATAATTGTCTTCTATTAAATATTACATGAAACCTGAAGACAAGGTAAAGAAGTTTCAGAAGTGACTAGAATCACAATCATTCAGAGAAGCAACAACACTTCAGCTCCTGGACGATATCCTCCACGATGCGTATTGTGACAATATTTTAATGAAATATATTGTGCCACGATATATTGTTACACCCCTAAATATTATCCAAATAGATCTATTGTTAAATTCCAAAATAATTTCTGATTTAATGGACTATTGCGGTAAGAAGGTGTAACAACATTTGCTAATGTTTAATGCGAACCCGCTTTTGGATGATTTATTATTTAGTCGAAAGAGCGCTCTGATGTTACACAACCCTGCTGAAGTTAGTTTAATATTTTGTGACATTTTTTAGCTTGAAGTGATGGCTTGCTCCTTGAAGCCCGAGGCAAGAAAATCTGTCTTCATTTACAAATCCTCATGTCACAGTGTTATCCATCCATATGTCTGTTCCCCTCCCGTGAGGATAAATGAAAGATGGCATTAATTAATTTATAAATAGATTAACTGCAGATCTTTTTGTTTCAAGTGCACAAAATTCTTCTGTAAAGTTTGCTGCTTCTTTTGGGCGCTCCCATTTCTTTGCGGGGATTTTTTATTGCTGTAATGCTTATAAATAAATATTTAAATGCACCATTTTTATGGATGGTCAGCTCTTCAAATTTATATTATTCACCAACAGGCTGATCAGCATTCCGATCACCGCCCGCCTGAATTCATTTCATATGCTAGAGGAAATAAATTGCAGGGTGTCTGATATATCAGAGGCAATGAGATAAACAGGGGAAGTCATCTGGGGTATTTTTCTTATGCTGGTCTTTATAGAAAAGCATGTCCAGATAAATAGAGCTATCTGCTGAGTGAAACAGCATGGATGCATACGGATGAAGATAGACAGCCATGGATGATTTTCGTATGAAACGGTGCACAGAGTTATACTTTACGTTACAATTACAAACGTGCTTTCTGTCAGAAGCTTCAGCTGCATGTGAACGCATTGCCTTATTCGTGTTTAGAAGTCTCAGTTTCCTCAAAAACATTGACCAATTCTCAAAATAGATTCAGTTTCAGAAGTTCAGTCTATTTACCTCCTTTATGTCAAACAATCTGGCTGCTATGGAGGATGTGATCAAATGGTTCCCTTCTCTCTATGAGTGGTGTAGATCACGTCCCATGTTCCTAACAAATTCTAAAGCAGAGTTATGGATCTACTGGTTTGGTTGCTAGGGTGATTAATTTAGTTGCTATGGAGGAGTCAGTGAGAACCAAATCCCTGGGATTTGAACCCAAGACATTTGCGTTGTTAGCCCAATGCTCCACCAACTGCGCCACATGAAAGCCAGCTCACCTTTTAGTTTATCCACATCCCTTTCGTACCATTCCCGTTTAGTTTAGGCTATTTTGGAACACTCCAGGGACTGGTTTCGTTGGTGTGCGGTGGTACGGCTTGCGTGTGTGTTGTTGGAACCTGTGTGCTAATTAGTTTTATTGTTTATTTATTTTTGGTGCATTATAGACGTACATTCTTGTTTGGGACAACGCATTGTTTGAACTTGATTTTAAAACAAGGAATATTTGAGTTGTTCTAAATCCTGTTTGTTATGGTTGATAGCAGGGGTGCTCACACTTTTTCAGCTTTCGAGCTACTTTTGAAATGACCGAGTCAAAGTGATCTACCCACTACAAAAATGTAAAACATCAATCAACAAACAATTATTTTCAACTTTATTGAGAATTGACAAAACACACAAAATAAATAATTATTTATATTTTTTGTAATGACCTGAGTATAATTTGACGACTTGCACTGAATTGAATCATTAGAACAGTTGTGTGTGACCTGAATTGATTGTAATAGAGCTTTAATCCAAATATTCAAGAATAAAAATGATGCTCTAATATATATTTCAATATTTATTGAAACTGAGTCGTGCAGTACAATATGCAGGTGAGGAGTGGCATGTTGGTTGATTTTGGTTGCAATTTAGAATGAAGTTATGAAGCATATTCTGGGTAAAACATATTTTGGATCTGGTCATTTGCAGACGGTCCCTAAGCGATTCCATGTCAGCGGGTTGATCATAGACGGTAATGTGTTTCTGCGAATGCAGAGGGAAACTTGTTTTGATAAAAAAATGTTTTGTAGTTTGTCCGCTACATAACACAGATTAAAAATAGATGTTATTTGTTTACTAAGAACATTCTGGTCTCGAGCTATTGAGCAGAGAAAACCGAATCCGTGAATCTGCAGCTAACTTTACTGAACTGTGACGGGATGGAGGATCGGCTGATATTGTTTCAATTTCACGCCGCGATCGACCGGTAGCACCTCCGCGATCGACGTAATGAGCAACTCTGGTTTATAGTCACTAAATTATATTGTTTTGAGTTTGTGTTGTGCATTTGATAGCTTGCTTTTGAATTCATTTAATTCCTGTTATACTTCCTCAATGTGCGGTCCAAGAGCTCATCACATGTTGAAGATAGGGGTCATAACAGTGTGGTTGAAAATCCTAAATGTGCAACGATGTGCAACAAAAATCATAATATAACAGTCAAAGAAGCGGCCCTCAGTCATATTCTTGACATATCCATTCCCTCCTTCTGGGAACCTCAGTGTTTGTCTGGCGTGACCGTCCCATTTGCCATTAGCACAGAGGTTAAAGCTCACGGAAGCTTTTATTGTAAACCACCCTGAAGTCCCAGGAACATCTACTTTCCGTTTTCGAAAGATATTGTGTACATTACATTCCTAAACACTCTGTTTCCTCAGAAAGTGTTGCTTTCAGATGCAGGGTGTGCTGGGATGCATTATGCAAAAATAGTGTTTGTATCCTCCCTCCCCTGTGAGGGGAAATGAATGACTGCAGGCACTTTATGAGAAGGGTACCGGCGTTGCATTTCAGTCCCTTCACCACTTCAATATTCAAGAGACTCTGTTAAATAACGCGTAGTGCTGCATATATTTCCTCAGTCACTCGTATTTGCCTGGCCCAGGACACATTTCCTCTCAACCTGCTGTCTGCAGATGAGAGATTGATGGACACACTGAATAGCTCTTCACGCTTGCTGTAGCAATTAGAATATTTGCAGGAGACAGAGCAGACCTGTGACGGCGACAGACTGTCAGGTGAAGAGAATCTGGCCTTTGGTGCTGCTGAATGGAGGCAATTACTGACCAAAAACAATGAAGGTTTTCAATGTAAATTCATAAAATAATACGCTGAATTTTGGGGATTTTACCTTTTGGTTCATTACTTTATATTATAACATTAGCCACGTTAGCCGCTAGCTTATATCAATTGAAAGCATAGACAAGTCCCTTGTAAATGGCACTACTTTGTGCAAACAAACAATATTTTTACGGTAACGTTTTTATAAAATGGATAAAATATCAGCAGATCTTTAACAAATCTGACTTCCACAGGGACATTCCAATTCTATCATGGAGTTGACCGAGTTTCACTCGGGTGAATCCTGGGAAACATAGTTTGTTTCTGCCCGAAATGTGAATAATTTTAAATTTAAAAATTACCGGGTTATGTTAGCAATTAGCATCTAATATTGCAAATGTTTTGTAAAAAACAACCTGAGCATTTTCTTTTTCCACATGTAAAACACAACGTTCTTGTAAGTTTTTCATTAAATTTGTGCATTAGTTTCCAGCTAATAAGTACTTTTAAGATATAATTACATACATTCTATTTTGGTACTAAGATAAAGCCCAAACATTCTTGAACGAATGCAGTTTTCTCTAAATATTACCAAATATTTACGACCAAATTGTATTGCTACTGACCTGATTTAAGGCAATTTACATAGTTTTAAGATCCCCTGTGTTCAGAAATTCTAGTTTATTATTAGTTTTGTTTAATTTTAAGCAGTTTTTTTCTTGTTCCAATAGAGCATTTTCTTGAAGGGCCTTAGTAAAAATGTGAAAGAAAGCTTTTTTATTATTATTATTATTATTATTAAATGCTATATTCATTGGATAACCCATGATTGAGAGTTGAAGAGTTCGGACAATGAATGCTGGGAAATGTAGTTCAACAAAGGATCCCATCATCATAATCTGTAGGATTCACTACTTTCATATGTAAAGCCTTTTGCATGTAAAAATGAATTTTTTATTTACATAGTTCAAGTTTAAATGCATGGAAGTCTCCACAAGTGTCATCTGGTGATTGGTTGGTAGAGTTTAAGAACTCAGGACTTTCAAAATAACCTCGCGGGGACAATATCAGGTGGAAAGGCTCAGTATTGTATTAACTTGATTACTGGTGATCTTCAACTTGGTAGTTGGCAACATCCTCTCCCTTACTCTCAGAGCAGCTAAGCTTTGGTCTTTTTCTCTTTTTTTTGAAGATGTTCTCTAATTAACAGGAACAAATAAAATGTGCTTCTTCTTTGGAATCTAAGCCTCTTTGAAAATGCACATTTGTTGTGATGGTGCACAATAGACCAGATATTTTTCAGATGGTGTTCCGCTTCACAAACCTGCTCCAGATTCACTCCTGAGAGCTCTTATATGTCTCTCTTTTCACTCCGTGCATTGCTTAAATGTGCATTCAGGGACCACTGAGCACCAGGTCTGCAAAGGTCGCGGTACATCACTGATCGGTGCTTTATTGCGACCGTGCAACCCTCGTGTTGACGCTCCTTTAATAAATCGTTTTAGATTTTGACTGATGGCTTAAATGAATCCCGCGAGACTCTCTTTGACATGAGTCATGTTAGTTGTTCATCAAGACTCGGCGCTTTAGTACTTTAGCTCAGGAGTGTACACAAATGAACAATTTCATGTGAAGGGATGTCATCACAAACAGTTTTCAACGAAACAATAAAAGTCACCGTTGATTTACTAACAGTCATGACAGGATGGTTTTTCTAGCTTCGTCATCTCAAGCTGGTCTTCTGACAGCCCTCCTGTGGAATTTCCAAAGTGAGTAAATTAAATCTTACATTACTTGATGTGTTTGAACTGTCTCCTCTCCTCAGACTCCTTTTAGTCTGACAACACTTCTCCCCGCTTTCATTTTCTGCACTGTGTGATCAAATTGCTTTTGATGTGACATCATTCTTTCCCAGTGTTATTTACCGGTGTGGCGGCTGGGTCTTGGCAGACATTCTCATGGTGCTTTTAGTGTAGAGACTCAAAGAAATTGTTTCCACGATTGATGTCCTGCACTCTAACTGTGGACAAACACATGAGAGATTTCCATTCAGCAATTTCTGTCGTCCTCCGACTCGAATCTTGTGTGCAGCAGGGTTATTCGTGGCCATCATGGCAAAGTCTACATCCCCAGTTTATCATCAGAAAAACACATTTCTGTTATTTTTTTTATATAAATTTGCATGTGCTTTAATTTTTATGTTGGATTCCAAAAGCAAAAATATTATCGTCAGTCTTTTGCTTTGCACAAAAAAGTTCAAAAAATCTGGGAAATTGCTGAGAATGCTGGGAAATTTTCCATTGACGGCATGTGGTCAAACTGTAGCTCAAACCGAGAACCTCGTAGAATCTTCCCACTAAACACACTTGTGGAGGCTATCGGTCTGTGGAAGAACATACCAACCACTGTACAAAAGTATTTGAACCCGAGGTTCTAGAAAAGGTTCAAGTTTTACCAGTGACTTCTAATGTCCATTCAAAATTAAAGGGAAACTGCATAAAGAAAATGGTTTTGTTCATCTTAAACTATTTAAATTGTGTATGACATCACTGACAGCAACCTAGCAACCATAGTGTTTACCCCAGCAACCAAAATTCCTGAAATCTCAGCTTTGGTGAATGATGGTGACATAGGGGTTGGCTGGTTTACTTCACTTGCAGTGACATGGGGAACATTATTTTGACACTGTCCCCTCCATAACAACCAGGTTGTTTACCATAGCAACCAATTTGACTCATTTCTACTTAGAAAAATAGTAGAGACATAGGGGTTGGTGTATTTTTTACCATCGACTCAAATTAGTTCTTACTCAGCTATTAAAAATAGTCGAGACATGGAGTTTGATTTATTTTACTATTTTTTTTTACATGGGGAACATTATATTGTCACTAACCCCTACATAGTAACCAGGCTGTTTACCATAGCAACCATTTTGACCTATCTCTATCTCAGCTTTGGAATAAAACAAAGACAAGGGGGGTGGTTTATTGTACTCAAATTGACACAGGAGTGACTATAGGTTCTCACTGACACTTCCATAGCAACTAAACTAATCACCCTAGCAACCAAATCAGTAGATCCATATCTCAAAATCGTTAGGGACATGAAATGTGATCTACACCACTCATAGAGAGAAGGGAACCATTTAATGACATCATTCTGTCCTC